GGGGGCTGATGGACGAGCAGCTGTCAGCAGTGGGTGCCAGCCCCCCACACTTCATGAATATTCATCAGCTGGGGCTCTCCTGAACCTGTGGGGAGTGGAGGTCCCAGGCAGCTGGGCACCCCCTTCTGTGCCAGGAGGCCCCAGGTGAGGGGGGGCTCAGTTAGACCCAGCAATTCTGGGAGCCCATAGCTAGTGAACACATAATCTCACACGGATCCACAGATACACAAGAATTACATGAGCTTACAATCACACCCAATGACACATTCATACACTATCATGCACACATGCACACACACATATACCACCTATATAAACACAGGCACATACACAATCATTGAACCCACAATCAAAAGGTATACTCACACCCAAACCACAGACAATTCTCATTCTATTTCTCTCCCCTGCATCTTTCTCTCTCTCTCTCTCACCCCTCTCAGGCATGCAAACAGGGACAAAGTAATATGCACTCAAAATCGCAGTCAAATCACAGATACCCACCATACACACATATGAACATGCAAAGAATCCCTCCCTGGTGGCACAATGGGTTAAAGCCCAGCACAATGAGGCTGCCCGCAACCACTGCAACACGAGTTCAATCCCCGGCCAGGGAAGTGACTCACATGGCATGGCAGACCTCTCCTGACACACCCGCTGCACCCCTCAGCAGTGTATTTCAGTACCGCTGCCTGTTCTGCTCCCCACTCTGTCTCTGGTGAATCTCTCACCACCGCCCCACCCCACACCTCTGCCTTGTACTCCAGTTCTTGTATGCATAAATAAATAAATCTCAAAAAAAAAAAACCATGAACATGCAAACACAGGGCATATAAACACTCAGCCACACAACCACACACACAGATCACATCATTATACTGAACTTTTACACAGACACCTTCACACACAAGCATAAACACAAATCTATCTGCAAATACTATGTTCCAAAGTACAACTACTTACACAAGTGTGCAAACATTGACCTAAAAATTCATTTATATAATCATACTGCCTCACCACACAAACCAAAACACAACTCATACACAACCACCCCCAAAGAGCTTTTTCTCCTTCACACACATAAGAATATACATGCACACATATACACACAAATGCAAAACTATCTCTATCTGCTCCTGACGGTTTATGGAAAGAGAAACTGAGGCACTGAGCAGCTGAATGCCAGGTTCAGGTAGATGGCTCCTGTGGACTGCGGACAGAGATTACAGTTGGGCGCCCCCTGCTGGCGCTGCCCTTCAAGAGCGTGGGCGGCCGCGCGCGCGGGCGGGCACGCGCCTGACGTAACCATGGCATCCTCCAGGCACGCGGGGAGGGCGGGGCGGGCGCGTTGCTATGGTGCCAGAGGATCGCGTGAATGGGGCATTGTTTGGTTGCTGCACCCTGGCCGGAGTGCCCAGACCCACCCAGACACACCCCGGCCAGGCAAAGACAGGGAGACTGGTGGGGAGACCCCGAGATAGAGAAACAAAGATGTTTGAGAACAGGAGTAATAGGCTGGGGGGGGAGGGTGACTCCAGGAGAGACTGACAGACATGAGGAGAGATTGAAAGATGGGAGAAAGAGGAAGATGGGGTGAAGAGAGACAAGGATAGAGAGAAATAAAGATGGAGAGACTAAAAGAATGGAAGATTTCAGGAGACACTGGAAGAACCAGAGACATGGAGAGATGAAGAGATTGAGAAGGATGGATATGGGGAGAGAGAGCTAGGAGGGAAGATGATAAAGATATAGGGCTGGGACTCTCCACTGGGAGAGATGGAGTGGTAGAAATGAGACGTGGGCGGGGATGAAACAGGAAGGCCCGGTAAAGACAGAGACAGAGAGGGAAAAGATAGACAAGAGATAGGGAGAGACAAGGAGGGGCAGAGACACTGGTGGGAGGTGACTTGCCATAGAGATACCCAGTGAGATGAAGGATCAGAGAGACCAAGGGAGGGGGTGAAATGCTCCTTGTGTCTCTGGCGCTACCACTACATCTCTCATCCATTCCTACTTGAACAACATGCCCCCATTTGAAGGTCCTGAAACCCCAATACTTCTGCACATTTTCACATGCTGTCTAAGGACACCATCCAAACAGGGACTCAGTCCCGGGGGAGTCTTCCTGGATTCTCCATGACATTCTCATTGATAGACACTTGCAGATACACCCACAGACATCCGATGACACAGTCATGTCACTGTCAGATGTCACATCTTTAGGACAGGGACTCCCACCCCTTTACCCTATACCAGAGGATATCATCACACGAAGACTCAAACATGGGCAATGCAGTCACATATGGTCACATATCACCACAGGGGCTCACAAGACACAGGACTGGCATCATGTGGCCCCTCCAGGCACATGGTGCACCCTCACTTATATACTTACATTGCGCTACACACTGACAAATGCACGCACACCTTCTAACCACCCAAACCCACCCCACCCTCCGCAACCCCACTCTTTCCCTCTCCCCATCTCGAATTGGGAGGATGTTCTCCTTATTTAACAGATAGAACAACAGAGATGGGGGCAGGGGAGGGAGAGACCCATTTCCATCTTCCTCAGGGGCTGGGTCAAGCCAGGCCAGGGTAGTCCCCTAACTCCTGTCTGGGTCAGTTTGGTCCAAACCTGGACCAAGGGTGTCCTCTGGTGGTTATATGTGGTCTCTGCACCCATCAGGTGGGATGGCAGGCTGCCCAGTGACCCAGTGGTAAACCTGAGCAGAAGGGCAGAGAGAACATACAGAGCCCCTAGGCCAGAAGTAAGGTCTGGAAGGGAGAACCCAGAGTCTGCAATCCAGATCCCAGAATCAAGATCTCAGAATCTAAAATCCAAATCTAGATTCCCACCTATCAAGATACAGAATCTGATGGAAGAATTCAAATCCTAGAATCTAAAATCCAGGTCCAAGGGCCAAGAACCCAGACCTAAGAACCCATACTCAGAATCCAAAACTAGATCTTATATTTCAGAATATAGAATAAATGACCTAGAGTTCAAGGACCCAATACCCAGAAGCCAAACTTCTTAAGAGCCAGCCCCCAGTCATACCCAAGCACTCTAGTTTTAGGGTCCAGGCAGTGGGGGTTTAGAAAGGAAGGACAGGAGAAGCAGCATTTCTCCTGGTTGCTACCCCCATGCATGTACACACACACACACAAACCTATTCACCCACTTGCTCAGAGCTTCCCCTAACCCCCAGCCATCCCAACAACATCAGACACGCAGCCACTTCCCTGAGATACAAAAAGCCCATTCCCAGTCCTGTCCCCAGACACACTTGCAGAACTGAGGAGGCTGGCACAGCCATGCACGTGTGTGTCCCCCCCCACACACACACCAAGCATGAAGAAGCCTCACGCCTTGGCAGTCATGCAGCCCCTGGGAATGGGACCCCTGGGAAGGGGCTCACTGAACACCCCCATGCCTACCCCAGCCCTCCCCTGCCTGGCCGGCTGGCGGTCTTTAATACAGATGCCAAACTCATAATTGTAACTGAGGGTGACAGGGTCACCTTGAGCCCCAGATGCTCGCGCGGTGACAGATGGCGTTGGCAAACCTGATTAGCGGCCCCCGTGCCAGCGCCTGTGGCACCTGCATCCCCCACCCCTCCCCCGCTCCCCCAGCACTCATTACCCACCCATTACCAGGCCTGGGGGGTAGGGGTGGGGGCCGGCTGGCACTGCCCAGGAGGGGGCAGGGACTCCAGGGGCCCCCTGGCACCAAGGTTCCCAGCTGGCTCCCTGGCTGGCAGGAGGTGGGCACAGCTGAAGGAGGGGGAAGCAGGCGCCTCATGCCTGCCAGAGAGGGGGTGCCCAAGATGCCAGGGCTGAGCTGTCCACTCAGAAGCTGCTGGGGTTTGGCACAAAACCCTGGAGGCAAGAGAGAGTATGTGCCCCCCACAATGCCCTCATGACCCTCCCCTCCAGGGCCTTGGAGCTAGGCCTTGGGAGATGTCTGACCTGCATGTTCCCACCCCTCTGTGCAGGCCTGTGAGGTCAGAGGTCACAGGCTCCCACGGCCCACTGGCCCATCTGTTTCCTCAGGTCCCTTCCTCCTGCTCCCCTCACCTGGGGCCTTCCTTCCTGAGGCAGGAAGAGAGCTGAGGGGGGCCCGGCTGCCCCCCACACACTCCAGGGGCATTTGGAAGCAACCCTGACAGCACCACATGTCCCTGCGTCTGTGCCAGACGGGCCCATCTGCTAGGGCCCTGGTTCCAGCCGCCCAAAGCCAGGCTGCCCTCGCCCACCACAGACCCTGTGCCCAGCTGAGGAGGAAGCATCCCACTGCCCACACCTCAGCTCAGGGCTACCCACTCCTGGAGAACCCCAGTGGAGGAACAAATACAGACAATGGGACATGGCCAACCTTTATGGTTCCCATGGAATGCCAAGCAGCACAGAAGCTGGGAGACCTGGGGCAGAAGGGGCAGCGAGGAGCAGGTGGATCCTGCATCTGGCTTGGGGAGTCCAAGTTTCCCCCAGTAGCTGTACCTGCCTCCCTGCCTGGATTTCTTGGGGTCCCCAGAATGGGGTGATCCCCGTGTCTGCTGGTCTGAGTGGGGCCATCCGTACTCCTGCAGCTGGAGTGTGTCTTTGACTCCCTATGAGAGGTGGTTGGGGGGGGGGCACATGGCCTGGGGTTCGAATGCCACCTCTGGCACTTATTGCTTTGTCCCCCATTAGCCAGTGAATTATGTGTGGGGTAACGCTACTTCTGTAACACTGGGCTGCTCTGCGCACGAGTGAGCAGGTGCCTAGTGCTGAGCCCAGGCCCCAACACACAGTGAGTGCTCAAGAAGTGTGTGCTCCCACTGAGTGTCACCTTCATGCCTGGGGCTGTGCCTGATGTCCCAGGGGCAGTGTGAGGACACTGGAGACCTATCTGGCTGTCCCACGGCCCAGTGTGCACAGTCCAGATTGTTATCTTTCTGAGTTTGTCTCCATCTCTCCCAGCCCCATGCGTCTGGTATCCATCAGTCATGTTCAGCTCATGCCTTCAGGTTGCAGTGACACCCTTCAACCAGCACAGTGGCTGTCTTCACCCGACGGCGGGCGGCTCGGCCTCCTGCCCAGCACCACATGACCACCAGTGCCCTGCGCTGGTGAGTGGGTACACAGCTGCTGCAGAGGACAAACGGGGCGGGACCTGAGCCAGGGACATAGATGGAGGAGCAGTGGCCAAAGCAGAGGTGATTACGTAGGCGAATGGCTGTGCAGCCGGGCCGGGAGAGCACCTGTAGCCAGAAGCAGGGAGACAGGTGTCATCATCCACCACATGAATCATCATCCGTCCACTTTTACCCCACCTCTAGAAGCACAGATGTTCAAATCCTGATTCTGTCATCTTCTGAAGACTTTGTGATTTGGACAAGTTACTCAATCTCTCTCGGCTTCAGTTTCATGACCTATAAAATCATGAAAGTTCAACCATTCTAGGTCTTTCTAAAGAGAGGGCTAATACAGGGAAGGGCTGATCCTCCCTAACAGCAGTGGCACCTTGGATTGGCACCATCAGGAATCTGCTCAGGACTGGCAGAAGGGGGAGGGATCACAGGACTTCAACAATGGGGAGGAGGGGTTAAACAGAAAGACATTAACCCATTGCTGTACACAGCCCAGGATATGTTATTTCCACCTACAATCCTGCCCCGTAAATGGGTCTATCGACTCACCCACAGACCACCATTCCACCCTGTTTAAACTCTGCATGCTCCCTTCATCTCCCCAGCTCTCTTTCACTCACTAGGCCCCAGCTACCCCCCAACCTCCTTGTTGTTCCTCATGTCTGCCCCCACACCTTTACTGTAACTTCCTCTTGACCCGCTCTTTCATCCACTCTTCCCCATCCCATCTCAGTCTTCCTCAAAAGCACCTCCAAAAGCACCTCCCCAGTAGCCCAATGGGTTAAGTCGCAGCACTATGAAGCTATCCGCAGCCACTGCAGCATGAATTCAATCCCCGGACAGGGAGGTGACCTACAAGGCAGGGCAGATCTCTCCTGTTTCACCTGCTGCTTCCCTCAGTAGTGTATTTCAGTGGAGCCAACTGTTCTGCTCCCTACTCTGTCTCTGGTGAATACTCTCACTCCCTGCACTTCTGCCTACACCCCAGTTCTTATATGCATGAATAAATAAATCTTTAAAAAAATAAAAGCACCTCCCAGGGCAACTTTGCTCCCTGAGAATCTTTCTCCTAGCACCCTGGTCTCTTTCCTCACAGACTCATAGCAATGTATATAGTTAGGTCTCTTGGGGATTATTCTTCTAATGTTTCTACTCTCCCAGAATATAAGCTAGCTGGAAGCAGGGGCTTTTCCCATCTAACTTGTGGCTTAGTGCCCATAGGTTCCTCATAACAAAAATTGAACCCAACAATGCTGGGCCCATGTTACTCACCTTAGATGAGCTCACTCCTCCCCATGATGTTATAAGATTGAAATGGCTGTTATCCCCAATAACAGATGAGGAGGTTGAGGCTCAAGTAAGTCCCTTGCTGGCCCACAACTCTATGGCTGCTAAGGGGGCTGTTAGTCCTCAGAGCATCTCTCTGCCCCATTGGAGCAGTTGCAGATCCGACAGACAGTACAGAGCTGGATCCCAGACCAGGGACCCCTTTGCTGGGTGTAGTGTGCACGGTTTTACTGGTGCAACTGAGTCAGGATTTTGGGTCCAGGGCTGCTCAATCACTGCAATATCCCCTAGATTCAGCGAAGGAATGCTGAATGAATTAACATGCCCTAACCAACATGATCCCAAACACTTTGCTGAATTGCCCATCATCATTAACTCCATTTTGCAAAGGGGGTAATAGACTCAGAGAAGGGAAGCCGCTTGCCCTAAGACACAGAAGCCACCAGGTAAATTTAAATCCATGTACACCTGGCTACAAAACCTGGACCATAAATAACAGTAAGAATGCCCACTGCCCTTAAGGAGCACCGACTGAATGCCCAGATACGTTCTGTTCTCAAGCAGGCTTCCCAAACAGCGCTGAGGAGGCACAGGCTACCATTACTCACTCAATAGATCTTGAGCACCTGCTGTGTGTCTGGCTCTGTTCTGAGGTCTGAGAGAGGGGCATAGAAGGGAACAAGACATAAAGATCCCTGCCCTGGTTGAGCAGATATTCTAGTAAGGGAGATAGATGACAAATACAATTGTAAAGTTAGTTATAAAATCAGTAACAAAATCTTATGTTAGGTGCTAATGAGTGTACTACAGAGAGAAATAAAGCAGAAAGGGGAAACAGGGCCAGAGGCACTGTATTTTTAAAATAGCTGAGTGAAAACCTAGAGGATGTTTTCAGTCTGGGGGTAGGAGACTATTAGAGGTAAAGGGAACATCCAGTGCAAAGGCCCTGGGGTAAATAGAACATTGGTGTGTCTGAGGAAAAGCAAGGCAACTAGCATGTGGTGGGAGAGAATTCAGTTGGAGAAGGAGAAAGAGAAGTGAGGGCAAAGGGGACAGGCAAAGCATGGACCAGATTGTCGAAAATATTTGGGCTTTTGCTTCAAGTGAGATGGGAGCAATGGAGGGTTCTTGAGCAGATAAGGGACCTGACTCAGGTGCTCACATGCTTCCCCTGGCTTCTAGTTGGACTTGGGGGCAGGGGGTAGGAGTGGGAAAGAGTGTGCATAGCAGAAGCTGGGAGCCCAGGTGGGAGAGGCTTGTGCTCCAGTTTACAAAGGAGAAAACAAGAGAATCAGCAACATCTTAGAGAGAATTCAGAGTTTGCTCCCAAAACTGTCCAGTGCCACAGCCTGTGTTCTGCCAACGCTGAAACCCAGTCCTCTCCCTTCCCTTCCCCCAACTACCCTCACCTGAGTGAAGGGCACAGCCTTGCACATCTCCTCAGTCATTTCCTCTGGGTCTAGTGGCAGAGACACAGGAGCAGCCACGTCTTGCCCATCCTGGAGCCTGTGGGCCTCCCATTGTGCACTTTTCTGCAGGCTCAAGAAGACTTGCCAGCTGCTGAGGGCAGAGATTGGCACAGGGGAGGTCTGATTGGCCACAGCCCAGGGCTGTAGTGGGGAATCCCAGGATCCAGGCCTCCCCAAGCCTGTAGGCAGCCAAGTTCCACTGAGCAAGCTCAGAAGAGGAGTCAGCTGACTAAGAAGCATCTGTCTGTCTACCTGCCTGTGTGTCTGTGACTGGGCTCAGGGTCCTGAGTAGTGGACCCTGCTGTCTGTTAGGTGGAACCTGGGCCCCCTAGGTCTTCTTTTAAGAGCTTGCCCCATCCCTGGGCAGCCTGGGAGAGACTCAATCCCAGCTCCTCAGGTTCCCACCCCTCCCCCAACCTGGCTGGGAACCTGGGGGTGGGGCCTGTGGGTGTGTGGGCTGAGCGGACCTGGAAAGGCACATCTTGAGGCTGTTCTGAGATGCACATTATCTGGAAGCCTCAAACGTCTCTTCCTGGTTCTGCACCCAGTTATCCACTTAACAAAATCTCTGGGTTCCATCCCAGCATTGCAACTTAATAGCTGTGCATCCTGATTGAGTCCCTTAGACACTCTGGACTTCAGCTTCCTCTTCTGTTAGATGGGGATAATGACAGTCCCCACCTGGTAGTAGTTCTGAAGCACCAGTGTTAATTTATGTAAACAGCTTAAAATGAAGGCTGATACACAGTAGCACCATAAATAAGCTGTGATTAACATAGTTACTGGGTGGTTTTTGCTTTTGTTTTTGTTTGCTTTTTTTGTTTGTTTATTTGTTTCTGATATTTTTTTTCTTTTAGCACCTATTAGAACCAGGCATAAATTTGATCCCTCTGAGTACAGGGGGATAGGACGAAAGTGGGTCCCACAGATTTTATATTAATGCAAAAAATAGACAATACAAAATTATTTCAGAGGGATAAAGGTTAAGAAGATATTGAAGTGTGCTTTAGAGGAGTTGGAGCAGGACTGTCTGCTCTCAGGGTCACAGAAGACCTCCCAGAGGAGGTGACATTTTTACAAAGACTAGAGGTGACATGGGAAACTGGAAACAAATTGGTGGGAGGTGAAGTGTTAGGAACACATTAAGGGAGTAGGAGCCATATCCGAGGCTAGGGGACTGCAGAGTCGCCTGGGAGGTCCGGGCCGGCCCTGGCGCCTCCGCGGTCTTCATCTCGCACTAAGGTGAGGAGCTGCAGGTGGCTGGGCGTGAGAAGTAGCAGGAAGGGTCCTTCCCGCGGCCCGGTGTCCCCTGCCCCCAGCTGCGAGAGCGACGGTGTGAGCTCGCCCTCTTGCGGCGACTCTAGGGACTGCTCAGCGGCCGCGCCCTAGACACCAGTCTCCAAGACCCACCTGAAGCTCAGCTGAAGATGAGTTGACGCCTCCCATTACCCCCTTACATCGAGTTCATGAGCTTACCCAACCTGCCTTTCCGCCGGCCTCTAGACCCAGCTCATGGCAGTTCCAATCAGCAAGATGCTGAAACCCCAAACTTTGGAGCATCCTTGACCCCTCTCTTTCTCTGCCCCTCGCTCCCCCAATCTGATACGACAGCTCGTCCTAACCGGTTCAGAAGTTACCCAGAATTCTCCCATTTCTCACTGACTTCTCATTTCCCCACTTGGAGAAGCCCCATTATTATCCACCTCGACAAAAACAGTCCCACTGCCGTGTTCCCCCAACCACCCCCTCCACACTGCCTCCAGATGGCGCCTGCCGGCACCTGGGTTTGGGAACATTGCTCTTCTGACCAGAACCTTCCTAGGCTCCCACCTCATTGGGGTCGCAGCCAAAGCCCTCCCTGCAACCCACCAGGCCTCACCCAGTTTGCTCCCATCACCCCACACCTTCTCTTCACTTTCCTCTCTCCCTCTACCCACACTGCCCTATTCTGTTCCAGACTCACCAGGCACAATCCCATTACATTACACAGCTGTGCAATGCTTCAAAACTCTTTGTTTCAACATGGAAAGATATTTGAGAAAAACTAAGTTCAAAATTTCAAAACATGGCCCTCCCTGGTGGCGCAGCGGGTTAAAGCACTGCACTAAGAAGCTTAAGCCACTTCCTCATGAGTTCGATCCCTGCCTGCCCTGGGGGAGATCCACATGGCGCGGCACACCTCTCCTGACCCGCCCACTGCTCCCCTCAGCAGTGTACTTCGTAAGTTGGCCTATTCTGCTCCCCACTCAGTCTCTGTGAATCCTCTCACCCTCCGCATCTCTGGCCTGTACCCCAGTTCTGTATAAATAAATAAATCTTTAAAAAAAATTTCAGAACAGGGTGCAGATATTTTGAGAAAGGGAGATACGAACTTACAACTACCCTTTACTTTTATTTGTATTTGCCGTTGATTTGTATTTGCATATTGAAAAGAAAAGTAGGATTTTCCTAAGGACAGGAGGGGCTTCACTTTAGAATTTTAAAATTGTTTTAGTCACAGCCATGTCTATGAACACACGCACACACCCAAGTAAGAAAGGAAAAACTTCCTGCTATCCCTAAAGTCCACAATTTACTGTCTCAGAAACAACCACCATTACCATGATTTCCTTGTACAAGCCCACTATATCCTTCTTGTCTTTAAACACAAATGAAAACAGTCTATACACTTACTACACTGCTTGTTTTTTAATTTATTTTTAACTTTTTAATATTTATTTTTATTTATTTATGCATACAAGAACCGAGGTCTAGGCCAGAGGTGTGGGAGGTAAGCGGCTTCACCACAGACAGAGAGCAGAGTGACTGAAATACACTGCTGAGGGGAGTAGTGAGCCAGACAGGAGAGGTTTGCTGTGCGGTGTGGGTCAGCTCTAACTTGTGTTGCAGTGACTGTGGACAGCTTAAAAGTACTGAGACTTAACCCCTGTGCTACCAGGACGGCCCTACATCAATTGTGTGTGTGTGTGTTTTAAGATTTATTTATTTATTCATACAGAAGTGAGGTACAAGCCAGAGGTGCAGGGGTGCTGAAAGGCTTCACCAGAGACAGAGTGGAGTGCAGAACAGGTAGATCCCTGAAGTACACTGCTGAGGGGAGCAGCAGGCCGTCAGGAGAGGTAGCCTCCGGGGCTGGGATGAAACTCACACTGAAGAGGCTGAGGCCAGCTTGCAGTGCTGCATCCTAACCCCAGGAGGGCCCCATCACTTGTTATTTAATTGAACTAATTCTGGAGTTCAAATAAGAACAGATAAGAATATCACTAACACCCTTGTACTCATTACTCCAATTAAGGAATAAGAGATTAACAGATACAAGAGAAACCCACTCTATATTTATCACTAATCCCTGACTATGCCTATTATAATCCCCTTGCCTGCATTCAGTTTTACTACATATGTATCCATTCAGAAAAGATAGATAAAATTGCTTTGTTGTTTTAAATTTAATACACATGATATCACAATATCCTTTTAATTTTCCTCTGTCCTCCATTTCAAGTTCCTTCATTTTCACTACTGAGTGTATTCCCCATATATATCCTGAATTTATTTCTCCACTATTCAACTTTTAATCCTCACAAACAATTATACAAGGAAGATTCTGGAACATGACTGTTTTGCACCTGACTTTTTACACAAGTCACTTCTAATGTGGTAATGCCCAAGCCCTGCAACAAATCAATCACAACAGGATCTCTGGGAACAGGACTCAGGGACTAGAGTCTATAAAAAGTACCTCAGGGTGACTATGAACCACTGTGCTGTACTATTCTTTTTTTTTTTAGGTTTTATTTATTTTTTAATATATCTATTTACATTATTGTTCATTTTACACCAATGTTTACTTCTCCCTCCCCCTCCCATCATCACCATAGCCCCCACATTCCTCCCTCCTTCTGATCTCTCTCTCTGTTCCCCTGATCTCTCTGGTTTATTGGGCTATATTGTTCTATACAACAGGAGGTATCAAACTTGAATGTACATTTGATCCTGAATGGAGCCTTGGAACATGTATTTCTTTCTTTTTCTCAAAGACTTAATTATTTATACTTACAAGAACTGGGGTACAGGCCAGGGGTTGAGAGGTGAGAAGATTCACCAGAGATAGTGTGGGGAGCAGAACAGGCAGAATGACTGAAATATACTGTTCAGGGGAGCAGTGGGCCAGACAGGAGAGGTCTGCTGTGCCATGTGGGTCATCTCCTGGCTAAGGATTGAACTCGTGCTGCAGTGGGTTCAGATAGCTTCACAGTGTTGTGCCATCAGGGAGGGCCTGGAACTTGCATTTCTAACAAGTAACCAGATGATACTGATGCTGCAGACCTAGGGGACACATTTGAGAACCACAACATAAATATATCCCTCATTCTTTTTAAATCTCTGCATAGTAGTCCAGCCTGTGGATACTTGGTAATTTTTTTTACAAGTCACCTATTATTAGCCACTTAAGTTATTTTCTGTCCTTTTGTTACTACACTACAGGGAGAAAGTCTGTACAATAGAATATCATTCAGCTACAAAAAGGAACAAAGCCTGTATTAATTTGCTAGGGCTACCATAACAATGATTAAACTTGCTTTGTGTGTGTGTGTGGGGGGGTGGTTTCCAGAGGCCAAAGAAAAAAGACCAAGGTAATAATAGAAGTGGTCTCTTCTGGGACTTTCTCTTTGACTTGTAGATGCTGTCTTCTCCCTGTACTGTCACACTGTTAACTTTCAGTGTGTCTGTGTTCAAATTTCTTCTTTTTATAAAAACACCATCATATTAAATGGGGACCCATCCCGATTATCTCATTTTGATTTGATTACTTCTAAATTTGACTCCATTCTCAAATACTGGAAGTGAGTACTTTAACATAAGTGTTGGGTGATATAACTCATTTCATAGCAAGCATTCATACATATTACAATATGGATGAGCCTTGAAAGCATGCCAGGGGTAGAATCCAGGCATAGATGGCCATATTTTTTATACTCCATTTATATGACATGTCCAGAATCAGCAAATCCAGAGACAGAAAGAAATTAGTGGTTGTCAGGGGCTAAAGAGAGAAGCCATGGTGAGTTACTGCTTAGTGAGTGTGGAGTTTCCTTTTGGAAACCATCTAATTCTAGTTAGAATTAGATAGAGGTGCTGGTTGCACAACATTGTGTATGTACCAAATACTACTAACTGGTCCACTTTCAAATGATTGCTTTAATGTTGTGTAACTTTTACCTCCATTAAGACATGACATG